TGTGGAGCCCATTCCTCTCAACTGCGCCAAGAAAAACGTGCTCGCTCCACATTGTGTTCTGTCGATCAGTGATAGGCGATCGGCCTTATGAATGTTGAACTATTCAAATAAACCTGTCATGCTAACCTGCAGATTGCAACTCTCCTTCTTCGAACAAAATGTGACCAGTTTTATTGCATCTTTAAGCGACGAAAGCGTAGATCCTATTCGTGCAACGTGCCATACAGAAGCAAACTTCCCGAGTATGGTAAACAAGTCGCTATTATCAGAGAAACGTCAAGCTTTGGTCGACGTCCTTGCGAAGCACGCTATTATATTGGACTTTTGCTGAATGAAGAGCAAATAACTGTACTTGAGTCGCATACTCGCCACGGGATTGACACAGGATCCGCTCACTCTATCCAGCAGAAACCATACCGTGTCTCATCTACGGAGCGCAAGGTCATTGCTCAATAGGTAGAAGAGATAATTAAGAAAAGGGTCATCCAAGAGTCGTGTAGCCCTTGGGCTGCCCCTGTGATTCTTGTCCGAAAGAAGGATGGTACATGGCGATTCTGCGTGGACTACAGACGGCTCAACTCTTATTAAAAAGAATGTCTACCCGCTTCCCAGGATTGATGATGTCATCGACTGTTTACATTCGGCATCATACTCTTCCTCCATGGATTTGAGATCTGGTTATTGGCAAATCCCCATGCACCCGAATGACAAAGAGAAAACGGCCTTCATAACCCCAGATGGTCTATTTGAATTCAATGTAATGCCTTTTGGCCTATGCAACGCTCCAGCCACGTTTGAGCGCTTCATGGACTCTGTTACGTGGGCTAAAGTGGGAAGTTTGTCTTTGCTACCTGGATGACATAATTTTTGGCTGTACATTCGATGAGCGCAACCATCGTCTAGACATTGTTCTCACCTGCCTTGAGAGAGCTATGCCTATGCCAGTCACTGTTTAAGTAAACCGGAGGGAAACTATACTGTCACCGAGCAGGAATGTCTTGCGGTCATATTCGCCGTGCACAAGTTTCGCCCTTATATCTGTGGACGCCGATTCTCGATTATCACGGACCACCATTCTTTATGTTGACTCACTGGACCCATCTGGTCGTCTTGCTCGTTGAGCATTACGATTGCAAGAACATGACTTTGAAGTCTGTTACAAGAGCGGTCGTCGTCATGCCGACGCCGATTGTTTTTCACGGCTTCCCCTTCCGACAACCGAGTGGGACGCTTACAACTTTGATGAATATTTGGCTGTAGTGGATACTCTGTTTCCTGACCTAATAACTTTTGGAGCAGAGCAACGCAGTGACAACAGTCTCGCTTCTTTCTTTATTTCCGGAACGAACGGTCAACGTGGTTTCGTCGCAAAGGATGGCGTTCTTTACAAAAAGAATTATGCTGGCGAAGGCCCTCGCCTACTTTTAGTTGTGCCTACAAGTCTACGACAACACGTACTTCGAGCAATGCACAACAACATCTGGCCATATGAATTTTTCTAAGACATTTTATCGCACGCAAAGCTTCTTCTGGCCGAAGATGCGTAAAAGTGTGACTGCATACATTGCGAGCTGTGAGCAATGTCAACGCCACAAGCGTCCTACAACTCCGCCAGCCGGACTACTTCATCCCATAGCACCCCCGGGTTCACCATTTGACGTCGTCGGTGTTGACCTGCTCGGCTTTTTTCTGCGATCCACCAACGGCAACCGATGAATTATTGTGGGCGTTGACCACCTCACATGTAACGCCAAAACTGCGGCGATTCCTGCGGCAATGGCCACTCATCACAGTTCATGCTGTCGCCATTATATTACGCCATGGATCCCCCCCTGTGTCATCATCAATCAGTGATCGCGGGCGGCACTTTGTTGCAGATGTTGTTAAAGACCTCCTTCGTCTTTCTTCGTGCCATTTTCGTCACACTACCCCGTATCACCCACAGGCTAATGGTTTGACGGAACGAACTAATAAGACTCTCGTCAACATGATTTCCATATACATTAATTCCGGACACAAAACATGGGACGCGATCTTGCCTTTTATAACTTTCGCCTACAACACTGCACAGCAAGAAACAATGATACAGTCCATTTTATCTGCTCTACGCACGCCAACCTTGCACAGCTCTCGACACTATTCGTTTTTCCGAGACTAATCAACCTACTCTGGCCGAAATCATTTGCCGCGCAAAAGAGGCCCGGCGCATCACCTGTCTTCGAACTTTCGTCTCCCAGAAACGCTCTTAGAACCGTTACGACAGAAGTCACGGGCATATATTGTTTGAGAAAGGTGATTTGGTGTGGTTTTGGACGCCGCTTCGCAAGCGAGGCCTCTGCCAAAAGTTTCTGGCCAACTACACTGGTTCGTTTGTTGTCCTGGAACGTCTCAGCGATGTCACGTACGTGATATCTCAGCTGTTGTCAACTGGCCGCCGCTCAAGCAAGACCAACGTCGTTCATGTTGCCCGTTTAAAACGCTATCATCATCGCAACGAAGCCTGACTCGCCCAGTGGGCATCGTCTGCTAAGGGGGAATTGCTACGATACTGAGGGGACGCGTGGAAGAAGGGGAGAACGAGGTTGGCACGAGCGGTGATTGGCCAGATCCCTGGACTCTCGCATTCATCATCTCTTGTAAGTAAAGGAATCTCACCGTAACAATATAATCACTGCTGGCGCCTGCACTTCGACTTATTTTGCCTGGACGGCTAGAGTCTCCACAATGCTGATATTGTAAGTTTCCTATGAAAGAAGGTGGATTTGCGAGATCGGGCTTCAAACGTAGAGCCTATCCGGCAAACAGATTACGTTACAAAATTTTTACATTCCACAAAGACCCGCCCATGCGCAGATTCTATTTGGTAACACAGTAACATAAAGTGTACGTACCATCTAAATGCCACTATTGTGCACCATTTCACTGGAGCAACACAATCCACAGAGCAACATATTGGTGCCATGATGACCAATTCAAGATAAGACAATTCATTTGCGCGCACACTATTCTAGGCTACGCTAGCTAGCTTCATAGGTATGTTGGAATGACAGTGACTTCATGACCGAACAGCATGAGCAGACGATCGAGAGGGCGACGGGCAAGTAGCATTTTTTGTGTTTTGGTGCCTGACGTCATCACAACTTGCCGGGTTGCTGCGTGAAATCACCAGGATTAGTACTGTAGCCTGACGTCAAGTTAGTGTCGATCTCCGTAGGTGCGCTGTGAGAAATGCGACTTTCATATCAAAATAAAATATCTTAACAGGATTTGCTGAGCATTATACTTGCTCAGAGTCGTCTCTATATAGTAGAATTGTATGGCAGAGTAAACTCGCCTCCAAAAAAAAAGGTGTCAGTATCTCTTCAAGTGAAGACAAATTTATTGTGCAGCGAGTTCATTCATATCTTGCTCTTGCTTATCCCCTAGTTGATACAAATAGCAAAATCAAGTGTGTATGCAATTATGTACATAGCATCTAAAAGGGTCAATATCGTTTCAGTTTGGTACCAAATTTTACTTTTGCTGTGTCTAAAGGTACATCGGACGTAACCGAATCCCAAAAGCTAGAGGTATGTTGGACGCACCCGAACACAGAGAGCCTAAATATACGTCAGGCGCGTATACCCGTAACCAGGAGTCTTAAGATGCGTCGGACGTCACACTTTCTCGCGAGCTTGCACTTAAGTGACTTCAAATTCGACCAGCTTGTCCATTGTCTTTTCGCACGATTGACCTCGTGGACCCGCAGAAGCGCGGATCAGGGAGCCTAAAGATACATCAGACATTGCACTTTCTGGCCTACTCAAGCTCGGTTTTAGCACTTGATGAAAAAAGGAAGCGGGCTCTCCCGCGCTGGTTAGTTTTTGACAGACGATCGCAATTGCAGTTTCAAAAAGCATCAAGTGAGGCCGCACCCAGAATGGTTTCCAGGCAAATTCAACTGCCAACATGGACACGGAAAACCACGATTACATGGGCACCGCACAGACACTTTTTTGCAGCGAAGGCCCTAGGTGCTGCTATGATCACCTATGAGAGGTTGCAACTATAAAAGCGTGACCCCCCCCCCTTTCCAATGCACTGCCGAGGCGAACTTCTACGCGAGTCTGCCCCGTCTTTCCGCTCATAAGGTCTGCTAGGAGAGAACGCTCGCAAGGATAGTGGAAACAAGCACACACTTGTCACGCAGATGGCGGTTCGTCGTTTACACTAAAACTGAAGGCGCGTTTGGCGTGGGAGGCGACATGACACGCACTTTAATAAAATCATTCATATTAAGGCCTAGAAAAATCTATCCGACAAGTTATCACGCCTTCAGTTTTGTATCAGTAGTCCTTGAAGGAGGCATTCAAACTGGCGACTGACACCACCGACCGCGACGCCGTTCGTCAACCCCGCGATGCTGAAAGTTTTCCGTTGTCACGGCAGAGTTCGCCCGTTCCTTGTCGGTCTTTTGCAAACTGGTATGCGGTAACCGCGACCCACAATATCGCGACGGCCGACGTATCTTGAGGCTCGCGGTTCCGGGTTCGTCTGACGTACAGTACCTTCAGCTTCTGGGATTTGCGCACAGCCGACGTATCTCCCGGTTTAGCGTCCGACGTATATTTAGGTTTTATTGTTCGGGCACGTTCGGCGTACCTTTAGACACAGCGTTTTACTTTTCCACCTGTAGCTATGAAGATACGCTCAAAGCTACAGAAGTATGCAGGTAAAGTTGGGAGACGAGCATACGGCCGTTAGATTTCAAAACGTGTAATTGGCAGCATCACCAATGAATAGCCAAGATGTATGCCAAGTAAGCAGGAAGAAAAATACACGTCTGCACACATTCAGACTTGGCATCTGACCGGTTCAGCACACACTCATCCCATAGGGCAACAGAATCGTTATCAGACAGAGGCTCTCGAAGAACTGTCATCCTTTTGCACTTACATCGAGTTGGCGTTATAACGTAGAACGGTGTTTAAGAACGAGATACATGTATCACAGCATATCACCTTTCTTTCGTTTCCCTCGTCGTATTCTCACAGGGCATAGAAACGCCATGACAGGTGCACGAAAGTTAGCTCCGAAGAAACTTGCCCGCTTTCATGACGCCCTGCAGAATCCCGTCGCCATTCACTGCACTCACAGAACACTTATCGTTGCGTTGGTGCAGCTCCCACAGTGGCAGTTGTTACAGCTGTGGCAACAGAGAATATCAGCTAAATTCCTTTCCTAGTTCTACGGCTCAACGACAGGTTACGTCCGTGGCCTGTGGGCAGACCATGGAGTTTCCTATGACGCAGCCAAGCACAGACAAAGTCTGTTGTAAGACCCGAACGTCTCTGTTGGCACGTTTGTAGCTGATGCGACACCTGGGAGCGACAACAAAAAGCGCACCGTTTGGTCAAGTGTTCCCTGGTATGATTGCAACCGCTAAAACCCGCTCAAAAAATATTCCAAAAAAAAGTCTAAAAAATAGCTTATTTTTCTGCACACAGGTGACGCCACAATATGCAAACCTTTGATTGCTTCAATGTATTGGTCAGATTTGGGTACATGCGTGTTGCGCAACTCATATACTACTAGAGCTTTGTGTACAAAAAAAAAATATGGTCAGAAAATCATAATTAAATTATAACTTTGCAGCAGCCAAGGCCAAGCCAACATGGTACCACGCTTAATCTAACAAAGGCTTGTTCCACGTTCGAACGAATATATATATTTTTTAAAATTTTCACCTTCCATATTTACGATACTGACGCTGCTTGCTACATTCCACACGGTCGTCGTCGCCGTCTGCAACAATCAGCGAGCGGCGGCCAGCCAGAGAAAAAGGTCGTGGTGCCGACTGCGGACGCGATGTCGTACTTCCTTCGAATAGGTGTGAAGAAATTCGCTGTCGCACGGGTTGCGAAGAATAGCCTAACGACTGTGCACGGCGCTATAGCGCTCGCATCAAGCCGGCACATCGCCACCACGTTTCCCGCCAGGAGAAAAGAAACGTAAGCTTCTGCTCATTCTTTTGCTCAATTGACGCGGGTGTCTTTCGTGCCCGATCCGGATTTCTTGACGGCGGCTGGCGCCCTCGCCCAGATTAGCCAATCGCGACCGAGGAATCCGATCGCGGTCAGAAGTGCCTGTGTGACGCCGGTTGAATAGAGTTTCCTAAATGGTCCCATTTCGTGCGCGTAGCGGGCGATTTATCTTGTTGCCCACCATGATAAAGCTGAAGGGCGATACTTGAAAGAATGGTGCTTCTTCTCTGCATTACAGCTTTGACGTAACCTTCGTGCGGGAAAACGGCGACAGGATAAACGCTGTCGGGAAAGTGGGCGACAGCCTGTTGGATGTCATCATCAACAACCACCTCGACTTCGATGGTTTCGGTGAGTCCAGCCATGTCAAGCTATATTGACGCGCATTGTGTAGCTTCTTCTGCTTGGCTTGGCTATCGCACACATCATCAAACCGGCACCCAGTAAATGTACCACATGAGACCCGCAGATGCACAAATGGGAAGAAACGAGACCTGGCTCAGAAGGAAAGCTGCTAGTCGCCCCTACAGTGTGCAAAACTGTGTCGTCAATATTTATAGCTTGCCAAGTAAACATTATGACTGCATTTATGTATTCTGAGGACCAATCCAGCTTTGAGAAGACTGTTGTTGAGCTTGGGCCAAAGCGTACGAGCGACATGTCTACATAGGGACACCTGCTGGAGGTCACTGCACCGTGTCGCAGGCAACAGCATGAAAGCAGGGGCTGTCATTATGCTCACAAGTGGCTTTCAGAAATTGGGCTAGATTCATCCTACAACAGTCGGTCCTGCCTGCCTACTAGAGGACTCTCTTAGTATAAAAAAAGGACCAAATAGGACAGCGCTAGTCCTGTTTAATCCTTGTTTCATGACATTTTTTTGTTTTGCTACGAATATTTCGTTTTGCTACGAATATGCACCAACTAGCTCAATTTAACACAGTTAACAATCTCGCTGTTAGTCTGAGGGTCTCATCTTAGATGCTCATCTGCAGACCCAAGACATCACTCATGTTGTATGCTTGTTCTAGCTACAAAATTGCAACTTTGCTTTATTACATAGGCATGCCATTTGACAAAACGAATACAATGCAGGCTACTCACAGCGATGCAGCGTCATCTTGTAAAGCCAGCTTAACTTGAGCTCTGCCTTTGACCAAGGCTTTTGAGGCTAAGAAAGTATATAAAAGTTAAGAAAATAGTGCGATTATACGAGAGAAGAATGACAAAAGATCGTCGTTCTTCTCTCGTATAACCATGCTGTTTTTTACCATGAATTCATGCCAACACGCTCAAGTCCTTGCTTTAAGAAAGCTTCTTATGTGGCAAAGTGTTGAAGGACAGCTGCTCAGGCGAGGCATACAAGACAAACACTGCCTTCAAAACGCATTTAATTTTATTGTTAAGTCATCAGTGTCAACTATGAAATGAAGGGATAATATTTGGGCTGTTCTCTTTCTGACTTCATGAGTATTCGTTAAAGATGCTAGACCTGAGCGACCACACGGTAATGGTTCACTTTTGTTATTGCAATTTAATAACCATGAGATATTATTTGCACGTTTCAGTACTGCCAAATGTCAGTCTAACAGAGGTCATCAGAACTTTCAGGCCTGTTGTATAGATTCAGCATTTCTTTTTTTTTTTTTTTTTTTTTCAATTAAGGCGTTGTATGTGGCTGCTGTGGAACCTGCAAGTGCACATTGAGTGAATGAAGGCTTACAAATAATGGCAGTAAAGAATTCTGTAAACAACTGCAATACTTTGGTGGCTCATATTTCTAGAAGTTAAACTTACAAAATATATATGTATACAGTGACACTTTGAAACAGTGTGTTCTAACCAGGGATGGGTAGAGACGCCCAGAAAAGTTTTCTAGCACGGAGATGTGAAAATTAGGGGTGTACTAATATTGAACTTGAATCGAATAATATCTAATTAAATAATAGAATTCTACTTTTAAATAGCTAATATCCCAAGTTGTGAATAATTTGACAGAACAATCCGATGAAGGTGGGGTGTGTAAAAGTAGTGCTAACACAGTTACATTATTCCTTTCATGAAAACTTTCACAGATATTTTGGATCAAACATAAGCACGTTCATTAAAAAAAAAAAAAAGATTGCGACTTCTCCCTGCAAGAAAAGGAGCACACGTGAAAACTGTCAAGCCCTTTATAACGTACTTCATTCGCCTATTCCGCAAGTGCTGTGAAACGTATGGCCCATAGAACCCTTAGTGATGGGCTTGTGAAAATCTCTTCACACTGTGCAGTTGTCATTGCGACATTGCACCACTAGTTCAGAAACTTCCATCGTTGCGGTGTGCATTTAAAATGCTGCTTGGAAGATTTTTGAGCCTGGAGCACCCATGACGAAGCATAGCATTGCTATTGTGAGATGAGCTGTAAAGAGAGTAACATCACGAGAAAGCCTGAATCCATACCATGTGTTTGCGCATGACGATTCAGTGTTTTAGTAGCAGTCACTCGCTGCATTGTGCTCGAGCACATGAGCAGATTTCGTTTCTTTCTATAGATATTCAATAAACTAAGTCCTGTAGCATTTCGATACCTCATCCCTTTAGCGCTCTGTCTAGCTGATTGGCTACTAAGCCACCTTCGCTGATCACCTTCCACGCTGTTCGCATTTGGCAGCTTATATACACATGCATCCATACTGCAGGGTATTGAGCAGCAAAATTTTGTGTTGGCTAACTTGCTCTTACGAAGAAATAGGGCTACTGAAATATGGCCTCGCATTCTGCTCCACAGGCAGTGTAGTGTCTACAGGTGCTTACGTAGTAAGGAGCCTTTTTTTAATGTAACAGCGCTAAAGAGCTCATCATAGCTTGTGTGCAAAAAATCACCTCGTGCATGACCGAAGCATTAAAGATGCAAAGAACAGTGCTTTGAGATAGATAATAGTGCCCTTGAAGTTGTAAAAGACGATGTCTACTTAAAACAGGTAATAACCGCGAAGCCGAGCCACAAGACTGAAGTAACTAGAAGAATAAGAATGGGGTGGAGCACATTTGACAAGCACTCTCAAATCATGACAGGTAGATTGCCACTATCCCTCAGCAGGAAGGTATATAACAGCTGCATCTTGCCGGTACTTAACTACAGAGAAGAAACCTGCAGACTTACAAAGAGGATTCAGCTTAAATTGAGGACGACGCAGCGAGCAATAGAAAGGAAAATGGTAGGTGTATCCTTAAGAGACAAGAAGAAAGCAGAGTGGATTAGGGAACAAACCAGGGTTAAGGATATCATAGTTGAAATTCAGAAGAGGAAATGAACATGGGCCGGGCATGTAGCACGTAGACAGGATAACCGCTGGTCATTAAGGGTAACCTAACTGGATTCCTAGAGAAAGCAAGTCGATTAGGTGGAGACAGAAGGTTAGGTGGGCAGACGAGGTGAAGAAGTTTGCGGGTATAAATTGGCAGCAAAAAGCACAGGACCGAGTTGACTGGCGGAACATGAGAGAAGCCTTTGTCCTGCAGTGGACGTAGTCAGGCTGTTGATGATGAAACCACCCAAAAGTCGAAATTCAGTTGTGGCTGGGACGTTGTGCGCGAGTGTACAACAAACACAGAGCCGGGAGAATTTTTCGAAACGGTGCCTCAATGGAGGAGTTAGAGGCATTTGATTTTCAAAACGCGGTCATCACTGCTTTCGCTTCTTTCTTCGCTACTCTCCGCTGGTATCATCTCTCAAAGCCGCTTTGCCCTATCTCTCGTTGAGTCCCCCCCGCCCTCCCGAATGTTTCTTTGCCCATCATGCCCCTCCCCCAGACACACTTTTTTTAACTTCAGGTTTTGGCACTCTGATATCTATCATCTTTACCCTACCAGGGTCCATGGGGGTCCTTGAAATCCTTGAATTTCAAAAGTTGGTTTTCAAGGCCTTGAAAGTGCTGGAGTTTTTCACAAATCTTTGAAAACTCTTGAATTTCATTTTTTTTTAAATAGACTTCTCACTTTTCACAGCGCATTATTGGTGATGGCATAAATGTAGCAGGCAGCTTATATAATGTGCCCATCACAAAAGAATTGAGGACATCAGTAGCTTCTGCACGGAACCAACATCGTGTATTTCTGGAAACTCGGAAAAGGCAGAAGCAGGAAGATGAAAAAGGAAAAATAAAGGTTGCATTGAGGAGGAGGTTGAAATGCTTATAAAAAAAAAAAAAAGAAACTAGAAGCTGCTCATAAGGAATTAACAGCTACAGCACTCATATGCAGGCAAAGGCAGAAACAGTTAGCGACTTGATGTGCATCATCAAGTCAAACAACCTTAGAAAGACTGCCAAAACCAAGCAGCAGGAGATAGTAGATATGATTGATGAAAAAAAAATTCAGAAAAAGCAACAAGGCGTTGCATGATTACTGTTCGTTAGTTTTTCCTATCTGAAAAAAGATTGCAACTTGTGGCATACTGAAAGCGATTACTTATGCAAGTGTAAGCAACTATGATTTAAAGTTGTCTAGAAAGAAAATGTCATTGGAGCCATGTTTTTGACGTTTGCTCCAAGGATATTTCTTTTTTCAATGAATTCGTTATTTCAATCTTGACCCTCCCCTGAACACGTATAACTGGGTTTTTAACAGACAATGTGGTCCTTGAAAATTCTCACTCAGAGCTTTTGAAAGTCCTTGAAAACCCTTGAATTTTCGTCATGTAAACGAGCATGAACCCTGCCTTACTTTCTTTCTTTCACTGTCATTTCAGTCCCTGTTGAGGTGTTCTCACATGAGAGACAGCTATCATGCACTCCACTCCCATTTTTTTACCTTTCTGTTTTTCCCTAAAGGATCGCCCCCTTTCCATTCTCGCGCTTCATGCAGGTGCACGTGCGGCCATTGTGTCCTAGAATAACGTGTTCTGCAGGGAGGTGGCGCACGCGAGCAACTCAAGGAACAAGGAGTGCAGACAGCTGCTTGCAGACTAGCCGGTTGCTCGACCAATCGCAGCATGAATGCGCGTCACATGGGGGCCGGAAAGGCCTGGAGAGGAGGAATTGTTTCTTGAAATTTGTGGTGCGCTGGCGGCCTGTAGGGCTGCCACGTGTGGCATCGCTGCAGGATGCGCAGTTTACTTGAAATGTTTGTAGAAATATCGGAGGCGGTTTAGGGGCCCCTTAAGGCCACGTCGTAGGTGCATAACTAGTTCAGAAATATGTCTTGAGCTAAGTGTTAGAAGTGTGCACTATGGACAGGATATCCCTATTGCGTTCAGCTCTTATCATCATCATCATCATCATCAGCCTGACTACGTCCACTGCAGGACAAAGGCCTCTCCCATGTTCCGCCAGTTAACCCGGTCCGGTGCTTGCTGCTGCCAATTT